GTCCAGGCCTACACGAGATGAGGCAGGATAAAGAGGGATAATCCCCCTCGATCCCAAATCATTGAGGCCAATTTCTAGCCATAGAATAATGGCGCGCGCGGCGAGTCTCTATAGCAAGGCCGCCAACCCCTCAACTAAAATTTTAATGCACTTTATTGAAATTCTACTGGGCTAATTACCGAACCCCTCAACATACTTAATAATTATTATTAATGAAATAATAATGGATGACAGGGCGCCCCGTTGCATGAAAGTAACGTTTCAGTTTTACTTTTTTCGATTTACATTTGGCAACACTGATAACCGGCAATCGACAATCCGGCATGTTTATTGTCCGTCGTTCATTACGGCGTCAGTTAAAATGTTAAGGATTTGTTTCTGTTAATGTGTTAATAAATGAATACCGTGTACTTGTAATAGTGACAAAATAATTCCAGTGCATGAATAATTAAAGAATCTATATACATATGTAGTCAGATTAGTAAGTTGTGAAGCATTCTGTATAAAATGGAGCTACCGTCTATTTTTGTCTCCATTTTAACTGAGGAAGACTGGCAAGCGGTGCCAGCTGAGGTGGGCAAAAAAATAGAAAATTTTGTAAGTGAAAAGTTCGAAGAGTTCATAACTTCCAAAGCTTTACTGGAAACCAAACATTTTAACACTGGTAAGCCTTATTCATGTTCTATATAAATGGTTTCTTCTCTTTTATCTTGTGCAGCTTTTTTTCTTGAACTTTTTTGTAGGGTTCATTTACACAAATTTACAGGTCAATAGTTTTGTTTCATAAGTCATGTGGCTTTCATTTTATATATCTATTTTTTTTTTATACAGACCAAAGCCTAGGTGAACTGAAGGCTCAAAATGAGAAACTAGAACAAGAATATGAGTCACTGAAGTCTAAGTTAGAAGTAGCCAGTAACACTATCTCTGAGTACGAGTCCCAACTTTCAGTCTTAACTACCGATATTAACAAACTGCATACCCAATGTAACAAACTAGAAGCCGAGACTGCCGAGTATAGGCATCAACGCAATTTGGCTGTGGACGAGCGAGATGAGCACCTTAAAATGATTCAACGACGAAACGGGGAAGTGGAAAGGTTGCAGTTAGAAATAAACACTTTAACAAAGCAACTGGAGAGTGCCGTCAATTCGAAATGTGAAGCCCTAGCTCAAGCAGATGAAGTGGCATCAATGAAAATCAGGCTGGAATACAGAGAGAAGCGAATCGAACAGGAGCGCACACTTTTGAACAGCCAGATGGAGAGCTTAACCCAGGAATTGAACCAGAGAACAGAGGAACTGCTGAATATGAGAAGGGACAACACCTCTAGATGTATCCAGCTGGAAACGAAACTGACTGAGAAAATGCAGGAACTGACGGTGGCTACGGAACAAATTAAATCGCTCACGGACTTGAATAACAACTTGGTGACAAGAAACGAAGAGCTGTCGCAGAAGATGATCAATCAGAGGGAAGTCGATGCCAAAATGAATGAGTCGTACGTTTATGAGATCGAGGCTAAGACTAAAATGGCTAATGCTTATAAATCTATGTACGAAGAGAGCCAACAGCACTCCGAGGAACTGAAGGAAGCTTTATCCGAGGTAAACGAAGATTCTAAAGTTGGTGGTTAATAAATTAATTCTTGATACTTGCGCAGGTTCAACAATTATTGAAAACGGCCACCGAGCAGTACGGCGAACTGGAGACTAAACACAAGGAGTCTCAACTGGCCCACGAGGAGATTATCGCGAAGAAAAACGAGTGCATCGCTATGTTGAAGAAAGAACTGGAAACGGCCAATGAACTTTTAGAAAACTTTAAGTCAGACCAGTTGAACCGAGACGTAGAAGGTACTTATGATGTTAAATAATTATGTTTGAAATATTTATATTTACAGAAACGTTAACGATAGTTTTTCAATTTTTTTCAAGGTTTGTCTTCCACTGCGGCGACCGCATCAAAATTGATAAAATCCGGTCTATCTTATTCTGAAGTTTATTCGAAGTACGTCAACATCACGGAGCAATATACGAACAAAGAGGAGGAATGTTCCCGCCTAAATAATTACATATCGTGTATAGTGAGAGAGATAGAAGAGAAAGGTCCGCTAATAAAGAAACTAAGGGAAGACTACAGCAACACCTTGGACGCGAATGACGCACTGAAAGAGTCTAACGACGCCTTACTGAACGAAGTGCAGCAGCTCCGAGAGGCCAACTCGGAATGCAAGAGATTGCAAGGGGTCGCGATGAGGGAGAACGAACGGCTCAAGAAGGAAGTGACGGACCTCGCCAGGCAAGTCGTTCACTTGCTGCACGAAGTGGAGCAGTCCCGGATAGGTGGGTCTTCCTCGACGTCCACCGACAACGACCTGAGCGACAGCATCAGTTCCGCCGACATAATCACCAAGAAGCTCGTCACCTTCAATGACATCTCCGAACTACAAGCAACGAACCAGAAATTGCTCGCTCTGGTCAGGGAATTGACGGAGAGGCAAGAGGAGGTGGAATCATTTGACCCGGCGGCCATATCCAACTTGAAGATGAAGCTGGAGGACCTGAGGGAGTCCCAGAACGAGCTCTTGGAAGAAAAGGACAGACAGAACAAGATGATGGGGACTTTACGCAACCAGAGGGACATGTACAAAAATTTGTACACGCAAGCGATCAAAGCCACCGGCGAAGATGTCCCTATGCAGCTGGAGAGGTCGTTCTTGCCTGATGGAAGCGAGGCCAAGATGCAGACGGATGCGGAAGCCCAATTGGAGGAGAAAGTGCGAGAGTTGGCGGGCCAGATCGAGAAGTTGAACAAGCAGGTAGAGCACCTGAAGGAGGAAAACGAGACATACCGGAAGGAGAAATCGGCCAACGAGAAGATCCTCCTGGAACAACTAGACAACATGCGCGGCGAAGTGAAGGAACTGACCAGACTAAACTGCAAGTTAAGCTCTCACGCCGACGTAAACGAAGAGAAATTCAAAGTGATGCAGAACAACACCGAAATCTACAAGAAACAAATCACCGCCTTGGAGAAGCAGAACAGGATATACAGCGAAGCCATCATAAAGCACGAACAGGCCGCCACTTACCTGAAAGACGAGACGTTGCAGTGCCAGACGAAGTTATCCAAAGCCGAGGTGTTGCTCGGCAATTTACAGAAGGAAAACGCTCTCCTTAAAGACGCCGAGCAGAGGCTGGTGAAGGAGAGGGAATCGTGGAAGCGCGAATCACACCAGCAGAACCTGATCAAGACAAACATTGAACTTATCAAGGCGACACTGGAACGGACCGATGCCGAGGGGCGACTCAAGCTGGAATCGAGACTGGACGAGGCCCACAGGGAGTGTTCGGCGCTCCGCAGACGACTGCAAGAGGAACAGGACCACTTCCGGCAGCTGACTGAGCACCTCGAAAAACAAACGCACGAGGCGCAGAAGCGTATGGAGGAAGAACGGGAACAGGCCGAGAAACTAAGGAAGGAACTGGCAGAAACGAGAGAAGAACTGATCACCAAGACGGCTCAGATCGAGGAACTGGGCAAGAAACTCAAAATGGGCTTGTTCACTGTCGCCGACAGCAATGCCGAGACGCAAAAGATCAGGGAGTTGGAATTACGACTGAGCGACGCCGAAGCGGAGGTCAATTCGGCGAAGGCAAAACTGAAGACGGCCAAGGAGGCCTCAGATGAATACTTCAATGTGGCCGAGGCAGCGGAGAAACAGGTGAAGGAGAGCTTGGAACAGCAAGAACGCCTGCAACAGGAAATCGAGAAGCAGAAGGCCCTCGTCAAGGAGTGGCAAGAGAAATGCTCTGAGCTCGAGGGTGAACTCTCTATTCAAATGGACGACCAGGACATAACGAACGCCGACATTAAGAGTAAATCCTCACAGTTACAGGAAGAGCTCGGCGTGAAAACTATGGACTTGCGAACCGCCAGGGAGCAGCTGGAGAGTGCCAGATCGGAAAATAAGTCTCTGATTGAACAGCTCAAGGCCGTCGAAAATAAATATGCAAGGGAAGTGACATTGCATTCAGTCGACTTGCAAGCCCTAACGTCCATGAAAGAAGAACTAGACAAGGCTCTGGGCGTGACGAAGAAACTTGAGAGCGAGAAGGAACAGGCCGTCGAGGCCCTGACCCAGAATAAGACGAACTGGGAGGAGCAAGAGAAAATATTCCAAAAGGAGAAAGAAGAGTTAGAGAATCGATTCAAAGACATGGACTCTCAGAACAGCCTGTTGCACGACCAAATCCAGGCCCTCAACACCCAACTCACCATTCTGCAAAGTCAGGCGTCCGGCGATCAGAACCAATCCTTCGGAGACGCTTCATTCAATAAATCTTTCACTGAGGAGGAAGCCAAGTCGTCCGAGCAGCTCCTGAAAATCGTCAAATACCTGAGACAAGAGAAGGACATCGCCGTCAGCAAAGCCGATATAATAGAAGCCGAACACTCTAGACTGAGATCCCAGTTCGACATGTTGAACAAGCAGCTGGAAGAAGCGAAGGCAACCGTCGAACTAGAACGTCAGAAGACGGAAGTGACGGTAGTGTCCGCGGCCAAGCACGGCGAGGTGTTACGCAAACTGGAAACCCTGAATGCTATCACCGACAGCAACCGCACCCTTCGTCAGGAACGTGACACCCTCCTGACGCAAATAACCGAACTTAGGGAACGCGCCGAGAGGCTGGAGGCCGAGGTGGCGCCTTTGCAAGAGAAGAACAGGGATCTAACCACTAAAGCCGACCAGATGCAGAACGAGAACATATCGCTCCGGGCCGAGTGCACCAGGTGGCGTCAGAGAGCGAACATGCTCATCGAGAAGACTAACAGGACTAGTCCCGAGGACTGGAAAAAGCTCCAGACCGAGAGGGAGACACTCGCCAAACAACTGACCATCGAGAGGTCCACCACCACCAAGTTGAACGACGAAATCAATAACTTGAAGCAGGACAAGAGTAAGCTGGAGGAGCAACTGAAGAGTCTGAGGGCGCAAAACAACCAACTCTCGGAAGAATTGTCCAAGACACGCGACGAAGTGAACTCCCTGCAGACGCAGGTCACCCAGTTAACCAATACGGTCGATCAGCACAGCACCGAGATTTTGAAATACAAAGAAGAGAACCGCTTGCTGACGGAGGACACGGCCGGTAAAGATGTGACGATTACCGAACTGAAAGGCAACCTGGCCCAGGTGAGGAAAATAGCGAAGAAGTACAAGATCCAGTGTGAGGACCAGCTCAAGGAAATCGAGGCCTTGAAGCAGCAGGGAGAGCAGAGGGAGAGCGAGCAGAACTCGAATGCCGAACGGCAGGAACAGCTGATGCAAGAGCAACGTTCGGAGTTGGAGGAACGCATCGCCCAGATGGAGACGAGTCATAAGGAAAGCATCGACACGTTGAATCAACAGGTTTCGAGCACTTCGGAACAAATAGAAACCTACAAGAAAGAAATAGAAAATCTGAAACAAATAAGCCTAGAGAAGGAGGAGCGGTTTAAGAATCTGTTCAAGAACGCCAAGGAACGTATCGTGAGCTTGACCGAACAGAACAATAACCTTAAGGAGGAGCTCCACAAGCAGGACAGGCCGGCTAGGTCGGACGGGGACGGAGCCGTGGAGGGTACAAGTAAGAACGAGGAACTATTGGAGAAGATAGCAGCTCTAGAGAGGGAGAGGGATGAACTGAACGAGGAGAGGCTGCAAGAAAAGGAGAAGTACACCTCTGAGATAGACGGTCTTACGCAGAGGGTGAATCAGCTGCAGAGGCAGTTGGGGCTTCAGCAAGGTTCTAAGCCTACGACCAGTTCCGCGTCTTCTGAGAAGTCGGCCACGGAGAGGCCGACGGCCGATATCAAGCCTATGGCAGGTAAGAACTAAAATTATTTTTTAGCTTTTTTAGCGTTTGTTAAAGTTTTTCCTTTTTTTTACATTTCAATTTTTGTTTTTAAAATGTCGCAGGTGTTTAAACATGTAAAATTTCATTATTTTAAAAATAGATAGAAAGAATGCTTTCTTAATGTTTGTGGACTAGGCGGTATCTGTTTTGGTTTGGGCGGATCATATATCCACAGAGATTTTTTGCTTTCAAATATCACTAGAAATGAAAATTTTTCTATGCGCATAAAAAAAAATGTGGGCTTAACTTTTGATGGCACAATATTTTTTAAAAATTCGAAAAATGTGATATTTTTCTTCCTATTATGTATCTTTTCAAGAGTTGATTTTAGGCGAAAATGGAAGAGGAAAAAAATTTTTGTAATTAAATTTTTTACAAAATATCACTGACTACAAATCGAATAAATTATGATTATTATTGTAAAAATCGAAAAATTTTAAAATCCTTAACGAACCATATTTAGGTAGGTTTCGTTGAAAGAATTAAATATTTACCGATAATTGATAATAAATAAATTACTTAATTTAGTACCACAACAAACACTAAAAATCAAAATAACTCGGAAACGCACAGGAATTTCGAGACAGAAGAATGGACATTATTTTTGTTAAACTATATGTAGATAATGAAAATAACAGTTTTTTAAAAAAATAGTCATTAGCGTAGAAGTTCTGTTTAAGAAAGGGGTTGAGCACCCTCTCCACTCCGCCACTGTGCAAGTTTTTGAACATTTTTATCGCTTGTTTTATGCCCCTTAATTAATAGGCATTATCTCCCAAACATGAAAAAAATCTAAGCATTCGTTTATAAGTTATTATGAATATTCGAGAAAAAAAAAATATATTCAACACCCCGTATTTCGGAAAAGAAGCCTCCTATGACATATGTATATAGGAACTTTTCTTTTTAAAAACATTTGTTCTATCTTCTGTTAAAGTTTGTCTACAAAAAACTGATTCACCCTGTATACACGGAAAAAGGGAGATATGCATACACCTGCACTCATATTCAGCACTGTGCCATGAAATTGTTAGCTTTAAAGCTCTACAGGGTCGGAAAGTCCACAAATAAGATCCACTACTTATTTGTGGAAGGGGCGAATTGGCGGTATTAATGCAATTATGTATGAATAAAATATTTATTTTTTATAATTTATTAATTTAATCATCATTTCTTTTGTGATTAAAGTATAATTCAAATATTTATTGTTTAAAATATGAGCAAATGAGAAATTAACTCAATATATTACTAATTTTCAACATACATATTTTGAAAATAATTGTTGTTTAAACAATTTTAGAATATTTAAAAAAAATTGTTTTTGATCTTTGATAAACAGTACATAAGTTTATGCACTTACCTTTGATACAATAAAAAAATAAAGTTGATAATTAAAGGAAGTTTAAAGATAAATAATTATCGGGCTGTTGAAAGACCAATAATTATTAACGATAGGCATTTGAAAATACACTAATACACATCGATTTAAGAAAAAAATCAAAATCGGACCTATATTAAAAATTTTTAAGCACGCTGCGGTTTTGAACTCGCTGATTCAATTTCGAGCAGGCCGAAGCGGGCGCGCTCTCTGCTTCCCCCACCACCACCACCCGTACGATTTTCTTGAATTTCTTGTTTGCATAAATAACTTTAAAACATGTTTTAAAGTAGGTTGCCAATGAAGAAAAGTATTGCAAACTTAGACCTGGTAAGTACTCGGAATACCAAAGGTATTTTTCGAAAAATTTGCCTGGATGTCCCAGTACATTTAGTGTAAATGACGGTTAACTTTGATCGGCTATAACTACGTAATTAATTGACCAATCGATCTGTTTTTTTTTTAAAGAAGCGTCTTATCAATAACTTTTAAAACGCGCTTTAAAAAATTTGATTTGATTGAATACTCACAAAGTTATTCTAATTGTTTATAAATAAAAAAATTCAACCAATATTTAAACAAGCACCAGAGCTCTCCTAATTGACGGAATCGAATTTTTCAAAAAGCGTTTGGAAGCTTGAGAGCCCTTCTATATGTGATTAAATTTTCAAGTACCTAAGGGCCTTGGTTTTTGCTGTGCAAAATTTTGAAAATTTGTAATTTTTTTTTCAAAATTTGGATTGCAAAATTATTATGCAAAATCTATCAAACCGATTTTGATGAAATTTGGTGTGATGATTCTACATAACATGAAGTTTTCTTGAGCCAAGTATGAAGGTCCTATAAGTACCCAATTTAAAGACCCCAAAAAAATTCCTTAAAAAGTAATGATTTTTAACCCCATTTTTGTCGATTCTTACAATATTAATCATGATTCATTCGATTTGTAAGTAGTCATATTTTGTAAAAAATTTAATTACAAACATTTTTTCCTCTTCCATTTTTGCCTAAAATCAATTCTTGAACAAATACATAATTAAATAGGAACGAAAATATGACATTTTTCGAATTTTTTTAACATATTGTGCCGTCAAGCCCACATTTTTTTTTATACACATAGAAACATTTTCATTTCCAGTGATATTTGAAAGCCAAAAAGCCAAAAATCTCCGTGGATATACGATTCACCCAAATATGGACTTTTGAAACAGATACCATCTGGACTATTGGTGCTTAGTCCATATTGATATTAAAAGTGTTTATAACACGTCGCTCCGAGCCATACAAAAACAATCTGTTTTACAAATTATTTTCCACTGTCGCTATCTAACAGTTTATTTGAAAAAGTAACAACTGGCAACGCTGATAGTTCACTGATGCAACTTACTATGCTAATTCTGGGCGGTCCTGTCTGCGCCGCCCAGTAGCATCGTAAACAAGAATTTAAATGCAGTTTGAAAAATTTGAACTATTGATTTGATTAAAATAAAAGATTCATATTTAGGGTAATAATACTCTTAAAGAACTGACCTACACAGAAAGTTACACCCTGTATTTTGACATTCAAAATGAAATGTTACAGGTCACTCGACTAATACTCAAACCCAATCAGTCCCTATTCAACCGTGGCGCAGCGGTGGTGAGCCCCCGTTGGCCAGCATCAGGCCCATGTCTGCCCAATTAAGGACCGTCGCGGTATTACCGACAAGCCAAAGCCCCAGCGCCGTAATGGTACCACCACAACAACAGGTAATCGCGGCAAAAAACGACGAATGACAACGATATGATAAAATACTTGTTTGCAGGTTCACACTACCGGATCGAGCACCATCGAGGCGTTATCCAGCAGCCCCACCAGCTCCCACACCGATTACGTCCCCGCTACGAGCTCGGCTAGTGCCGCCCTCTTGGGGCCAAGACAGGTAGCCGTTCCACCGACCCAGTCCTCCCAGGACGTGGAGGACGAGGATAACAACATGCAGGTGCAGACGGCGCCCCAAACTCAAGCCGTCGCCCTCGTACTACCCAGAGTCGAGCCGCCCAGCAGCGGTCCCACTCAGGAACAGGGAACGAGCAGTAGCAGCAGCTCTAACACCGTCACCACGACACAGGCCGGGCTGAAGAGGCAGAGGGACGCGGACACGGACAGCTGCCAGGCCGACGAGCAGGGCAAGACGCAGCAGCAGAGCAAGAGGACCAGAGTTCAGGTATGAAGTATTTGGTTTTTTGTTTATTGTGAGTTCCTCTGACATTTTTCTCATTAACGTCGCGTTTCCGAGATACGGGGTGTTGAAATTGTCACTTTGAAAAAGTTTTTTTGTAATTATTTTTAAATCGGCATAAGATAAAAATGTTAAAATTTGTACACGAATAAATTTCAACTGTGTCTTAAGAAAAACTTGCAAAGCATTTTATTTCCAATAGCAGTGGCGTGGATATGGGGAGTTTGAAGGATATGAAAGAAAAATATGTTAAAAGTCAAAATTTCTTAAACATCCTAAGGACTTTGCAGAATTCCAAAGGATAGTATGAAAAAAATATAAAGGTACTCGAAATCAAGATATTTTTTAAAAAAGAGAGTTAATTTTTGTATTTTTCAAATTTTTTTAATATAAAAATTTCACTGTGGGAAGAATTTTGTTTCAACATCGTGACTTGGAGGAACCGTCATCATATTTAGTAACTTTGTTTTTTCTTGTTTTTTCCGCACGTCAAATTTATTTTGTACCTACGATACTTCATTGAAAAGCTGAAAAAAATGCAGCCAATTTTGTATTATTGAGATATATTATTTTTGCGATGTGAAATCAAATTTTGTGAATTATTCTCCAATTATTTATCGGTTTATTTTTGTTTTTAATTAGTGCCAAAAATTTGAATATTTAACATGGGAAATGCTATGACGGTACAATTAGAATTACACGTGAAGAGAATGTGAATGGTACGACGAACAAAATATAGACATTTACCTGAATTATTAATTAATAAATGGGAAACATAAAAAGTTCTGACTTGTTGTCTGCCAAGTAATAAACGTGAACGAGTAACAGCAACAGCGCAATAGAGTAAGAATGAGAATAGGTGGCGGGAAATTTAAATAAACATTTCAGTACACAAATTAGTCATTAGAAATGATTACATTCAACTTGTGATTATTTGTGTAATTCCATTTGAAAAATATAATCCACCCAATAGAGCGAAAAAACAGGCCGTTTTTACACTTAAATATTACTGCAAATTTCATGAATTTCCTTTTGAAAAATACTTAATAATGGAAAACCCAAGTGATTTCCCCAACAAAGTGAACAATTTTTTTTTAAACAATAAAAACTGCAAAAAAATTATTATTTTTTTGTTTTTTTTATAATATCTCGAAAAATAATGATGGAATCGTCTTAATCTCAATAGGACTTTTGTAGAGAATCAAAAGACCTATAAAATGGTTTTTTGTGCGACCTGGTCGGTTAATTTTTTACAGAGAAAATCCGGAAAACCTCCAAAATATACCTTTTTTTCAAAAATTCATAACTCCGTCAAATTTGAAGCTGGAAAAACAATCCTGTGGAATATGACAGATAATATTTAGTTTAATCGTGCACAAGGTGGTTTCTGTCCAATGCATAGTTTTTGCACAACTGCATTATAAACAAATTAGGGTCTTTTTTTGCATAGCATGGCAATTTATCAAAAATGGTCCGATTTAAATTTTGAAAACAGCATCTAAAAGTAGACGACAAAATCTTCAATTTGTATATCTCGGATTTTCGTCTGGGCGGTGGGAAATATGCTAAAAATGCCCTTGAAAGTCGCCCGAAACGATTGAAAGATATTTCTTTATATAAATTATAAATTGTCTGCCGAATTAAGTCTCTCGTCATGTCATCGATATTTTTAAATTTTTGTTTTCGCTTCCTCTTTACGCAATGATCTATAACACCTTGTTTAATAACACGAAAAATTATAGGCACTGAAACTTTAGTTAATATGTGAATTCTATTTATAATTTCGTTATCTGGTTTTTCATTTTCTCAATAATCGTAAATATTTAAAATGAGACGCTGACATTGAACTTGTAAATCTTTATTTTTAAATTCTAAATCTGTTTCATCAACAACCGGTTCTACTAATTCAATATTGTCTGGGGTATTTCATTTTGTTTCATTCCAAAATGCCATGTTGTAATAATATTAGTAAACAAAATAATCTTTTTATTTCTCCCTTTCGCAACTGTAATATGAATGATTAATAGAAGGTGCCTGTAATAAATTAAAATTACCTGAATCACACCAAATTCCGGATTGCTGCACTGCACTGCTAGGCAATTTGTCAACAACTGAAATTTATGGCCAGTCGCCGTTTGCCCGCGCGCGCCTGTTTTTGGTCTTCAAATTAATAGGTGTCATGCCGTTTTTTTTTTGGCTTCATATATTTTGCAGAAAAATGTAATTTTCATATTTTCTTTGATTCTTTTAAATGTGTATATTTTTTAATTACCTTTTATTTATCCTGATATTTTCCAATTCATCATTTTTTCATGCTATAATTTCATTTATTCATATAATTTCAAATGTTTGATTGGAATAATTATTCTACTAAGTCAATTACTTTCTTGTTAAAGCATCTTTCAATTGTTTTTCCTCCAGTTTGAGCTTTGGCATCTTCTCTAGCCTTCATTTGTAAAGAATTCCGTTATTGTTGTATAGTTTGCTACAAATATGTTGTTTTTCGTAACAGGCCGGCACTGTGAGCGATAGCGGGCTCGAAGTGGAATACCAAGTGCCGACAAGCAGCCAGAGAGACCACGACGACGACAACGTTATCGTGGTCGAGAGTGACGACGAAGGAGGAGCGGATGAGGGCGAAGGCGCCGACGACGACCAGGAGGATCCCGATACGGAAGGCTACGACATGGAGGGAATGGTAAAGATTCTTGTCTTACGTTTTAAATAAAGAAAAATATTGAGTTTCTTCTATTTCAGGAGCAAGACAACTACGAGGACGCCGACTGTCAGGAAGTGGAAGACGAGGAAGAGGCGGGCAACGAGGTGGAGGTCATAGAGGATTCCAGCGAAGTGCCGAATCAGAGCGAGAGATCCATCCAGGAGAGCCCAGAGGAGGAGAATTCCGAGCAGGCGCAATCCGAAGCCATTAGCAGTGGAACTGACGGTGAGTTTCGTTGTATTTTTTTTGTTCGGTGAATAGTTTCCTAGCAGTGTGATGATGGATTTGAATTAACATTTTATAGTGTCGCTACTTCCTGTGATTTATTTGCATTTTTTGCATGTCGTTGCCGATTATGTTTGGAAAAATTGTAACAACACGTCGGAATTAGTGCAATTGTTTGGATACCTGACGAAAGCTCTGGTTCGGAAAAACGTTTTAGGGGAATGTTTGTAGATCTGGCACAAATACAAAAAAAATAAAGAAGGGTTTCCCATACGTTATAAATTCCATGTCCAGTACTGGTATAATTTTAAAAATCTTAAAATCGGTGCTTGTATTCTTCTTTGCTACAAGCGTTTCCTCAGTTATAGACAGATTTATCAAAAGGGGAAAATGTTTTATTTTTTCTTTTTTCATTCGACGTATTGTGGATTTATCCCGGAACATTCAAAACAAAAAATATTTCATTAATAGTTTGTTTCATATATTTTTTTTAGAGCCCATCTCCGAGTATTACTTTTATCCGAAGCTTTGCTGATAAGTGCATTCATTTTCATTCATGTCATTTGTACCTAAATAATTCTCACACTGTCTTAACAATTATTAAATACAAAGCCTTCAATAAATGACTACGAGCCACTTGTGCCGAACGTAGGCAACCAACATTACACGATCAGCATTATCACCTAAAAGTCCCTAAACTTCAATGGAGTGGTTGAAGGGGTTACAGACGAACTGTTGATATTAAACTTAATACATTTACAAAAAATATATATGTTCAAAAACAAATAATCTACAGGAGTTAGATCCGGTGACCTAGCTGGTCACAACTCTTGATTAATCAGTCGGTTATCGTAAAATTCTTCCAACAATTGAATTGTTGCTCTCTGATATCTTTTAGCATTTATGGTTTCATAGAAAAAATTATATAGTCCAGTCATTATAGACATGAAACGGTCTGTTTCTGGAAAAAAATACTATTAGAAGTTTCTCTGCGGAATATTGTTCGGAAACGTGTTATAAACAAAATATCAAAAAATCAACTCGAGACTAGTTAAACTTTATTTAAACAATGGTCAAAGATATGGAAAAGTGGTTTTTTGACTTGCGTAAAAAAACTTATTCATAGCAAAAAATGGTTTATACAAAAAAGGTAGGTATTAAATAAACCTGTAACATTAACATTAAGATGAATTCAACTATTTAATTGCAAAAAAGAAGATAGTGGTGATGCGTTCTATTACTCAGTCTAGCGACCACGTGGGGGGGAGCGAGGTGGCACATGCGCGCTGCACGCCTCGTTGCGGGCAGAAAACTGATCGAGCGGCTTCAAATCGGTGATTCTTTTTTTAATTTGTGGTAGCGCGAAAATTCATGAGCATTGAAGCTATTGTATTAACGAAATTAACATTATTTCAACCCGAAATTTACAAACAACAATTTAATAAATATTAACATTTTTCAGTCATTTTTAAACAAATTAAATTTGAAAAACTAAATTCTCAGTAAATGCATATGTCAATACAACTATTTAGGTACAAAAGTAACTAATGATCGAAACTCAACAGCGCCTGTGAGCTTTGGAAAAAGCAGCATCTTCTAGATAACAAATTCCGCCAACGCCAGACTAATGAAGGTTTCAGGCTGAAATTTTTACCACTTATTAAGGGTAAAGATTAAAAAATCCTGAATTACAAGTGTCTGCGATGAAAATTGCATTAATTATTAGCAATTGAAAAAACTGCCATTTTCGACCATTTTTGGACTCGCTCATGAACAAATTATCGGAATTTAATCGGATTTGTCTCATTTTACAGATTTATTTAATACCTTCTTTGCTATGAATAACAGTTTTTTTACACGAGTCAAAAAAACACTTTTCCATTACTTTGACCATTGTTTAAATAGTTTCCCAACTAGTTGATTTTTTAATATTTTATTTATAACACGTTTCCGAACAATATTCCGCAGAGAAACTTCTGATAGTATTTTTTTCTTAAAAAAAAGCTTTAATGACTGGCCTAATACGTCTACGCCTACTTTTAAGGAATGTAAACTGGTTTCTACAAAAGTATGAGGATTTTCGGTAGGCCAGGTTCTGTAATTTTGACTATTTTGGCTATTTACACAACCTGATATGTGAAACCATGCCTTGTCAGTGAAAAATCACCAGTTAGTGAAACAGAATGTTGAGATTTGTTGACATACACATTGACGTTTCTTCACAACATAATCTTGATCTTATTGTTGCAGTAATTTTGAGTTTTACGAAAATTTAATTGCCAACACGAAGGAAATAAAGTTACTGTTTCAAACAAAATTACTGGCCACGTGGCTTGTAATCATTTATGAAGGCCCTGTATAATTTAACTAAATTCGCCCTCTTAAAAAACGAGCTTTTTGGAGTTGGTAGCGTTTCTGTATAGGTACATTTCACCGCCATCAAGACTTACCTGGCTTATATTATTCTGGTGCAACAGCTTCCTCCCTAACAAACTAACCCGTCCTGCCTGCTCTTGTGGTATCCGCTAACACCCTCCCACCGCATTGTTTGCCATCCGCATTGTTTGCCATCCGCATTTGCTTGGGTCTTCTAACTAAAACTCTCCGTTCAACACATAACAAAGCACCTCGAATATCTCACTGGTAACCATTTTTCAAACTAGGCTCGGGCGGCATCACCATATCGCAGGCTTCCACTTCCGTTTCCTTGACGGTCCCGTCGTTCTCTCGTACCCGACCGGTAGCGCCCTTGCCCTCCAGACAGCAGCAGTCTCACCTGCTCCTGCCGCAGAGCCTGGAAGACGGCGGAGACGACGGCATAGTACCATCCACCCCGACGCTGTACGTACCACGGCGTTCGGACGGGTTCGGAGAGGCCGTGAGCTCCCCTCACGTGCCCACCAGCGGCAGGTTTACTTTCAGCGAATCGGCGCAGTTGAACGTGCCGGGATCCAGCGAGATCGTGCCGGAACAGAGCCTGGAGGCGGGCAGTCTGGACGACACCAGTATGAAACGCTGTCTGGGGATCGGAAATTTTTAAATTAACGGGTGGTGTTGTTTCAGGTACCGGGCGTAGCGTGCCCACTACCCCTCTGCAGTCATCGCCACAGGAGGCCGTGCCCGCCGGCGACGAGCAGGGCTCCAGCCAGACGACTCAGTCTGACGGTAAGTGACTTTACGCTTATCACCGTAAACGGTCATTTGTGTGTATGGAAAAGCTGGGCTGAGGTTAAGGTAGGGTTTTTATCGTGAAAAAAATTATACAATAGTCGATCAATAAGTACCAGTGTTAGGAATGAAGACGCACGTTTTTTTAAATTTTGTACATAATCTCCCTTTAGGTCAATACACTTCCCAACATTTCTGCCATTTCTTTAAACCCTCTCCAAAAAATATGATTTCTCAAACACGCTTCTGTCTCGGCGATAACATCCTTGTTCGTGCTGAATTTTTTTCCCACCAGCCATGTTGGGGAACAGAGAGAAGATGCAGGGAGCCAGGTTGGGCGAGTACGGTGGGTGCCAGTGGCGGCTCGTTAGAGGAGGAAGCTTCCTCCGCAGTTTTTGATGGTATTGCAAAAGTTCTCTTTTGTTTTTTTTTATTTTACATCATATATACTAAATTAATATTATTTAAGAAATTTTCATACAAATCTATTTTCATATGTAACTAATTAGCTACCTATTAAGGGAGACCTCGAGTACGTAAATATACGATTTTTAAATGTTCACTATTTTTCGCGCCCTCCGAATTCGCATTATAGTCGCTGGCAGCTAATTTTCTCAAGCCTCCAGCCTTTCTCAGTGTTCTATATGCTGCAAGACCTTGAAATGATGGCACGATGTCTACATTTGAGCACGGAGGCTCGTTGCCACCTTCCATCTCTTTTTAACAAGCGAATCTTTCAATAGCCCTCCTCTACCACCTCGGCGATCGCAGCGGTATGTTGCAATGTTGCATTTCATAATAAAAACATTGTTCGTCTGTGAGTAGCTTTTGTTTTTAACTGGTGTTTATATGAAGTTTTTCTAAAGAATTTTTGTGAGATGGTCATAATTAATTAGTAAAACAATCATTTATATTTTACTCTGGTACGTACTTAACTTTATTAAAATAAAATGAGTACGGAAAATGAACATAATCTCAACAACTTCTTTAGTTGCATGGACATTGTAGATTATTTATTATTAAAAGGATTTAGTACTCTCAGTTATGATGAAAAGCTTATAATAAAACAGAAATCGAGACCAACGCCGTCTTTAGTTGCAGTGGGTGAAAAACAAATTAGGGGATTTAACAATAATAATTATAGAAAAACTGCATTAACTATTAGAAATAAATTATACTGCTGGCAATGTTTATTTTTCACTAATGATAATTTATCGGTTTGGAGCAGGGTGGGTTTTAACAATTTAAAAAATTTTAACGAGAGGCCTTGAAAAACATGAAAAATCGCAGGAACATATTTCATCGCGTATTAAATATTGAAATGTTTGGTAAACAGAATATTGTAAGGTTCGTGAAAATAGAGATATTTTAAATAGACTAATCGATGTAGTAATATTTTTATCATCTCAAGAAATTTGTTTTCGCAGACATGACAAAAAAGTGGATTCTACTAAGCGAGGGAACTTTAAAGAGTTAATAAATTGATTAAAAACATAGGATTCAAAGTTGCAAAATTTCTTAGATAATGCCACTGTTTCTTCGGGAACCCCTAAAACCATTCAAAACGATTTAATTGAGAGTATTAGTTCAATTATCAAAAGTAAAATTTATGACGAATTAAATAATTGCGAATTTTTCTCCTGGCAAGTTGATGAAACCACAGATGTTACCTGTAAGTCTCAATTATCGGTAATTTTTAGATACGTAGTGCATGGAGAAGTTGTTGAAAGATTTGTTGGATTTTTTGACGTAACAAGTGGGAGAGATGCAGATAGTTTGTTTAAATTATTAATTAATGAATTTGGAAAATTTGACTTAAAAAAAATTAATTGCTCAAGCCAATGATGGTGCTCCTCAAGCTTATTTCAATTCAACATATAAATTAAATTTAGTTTTAAGTAAAGCTTGCAACAGCATTATAGAAGTGAGAATTTTTTTCAAATCTTTCCGGATTTTCCTCATTTTTTTCTAAATATACTAAAAGATCTGACATATTAAATAAAATAATGCAACACAGGATTCCAAGTAATACTCCCACTCTTTGGAATTTATCTTCTAGAGCTGTTTTCAAAACTTATAGAAAGAAACTTATTGAGGTTTTGTATTTCATATCGGATAGGTAGTGAGGATTTTTTAAATGATCAACAAACTTTAGGATCCGCTTATGGATTAAAACAATTGTTGATGGACGAAAATTTCATTTTTTTCTTGAAAACCTTTACAATGATTTTTGAACAAACTGATGTTGTATTCCAAATTTTGCAGTCTCGTAACATTTTCTAAAGAGAATTAATTCACTTTTATCAAAATTAAAAGAATTACGTAATAAATGAGATACATTCAACACGTATGCAATTTTCTTAGAAGACATTGACGAAACCTTTAACGATGACCCACCCTCAAAGAAAAGGAAGACAAGTTTAAAGTTTTTTATTTCAAACTTCCTCTGCCAAACATACCACGAGCCGCCACTGGTGGGTGCGGTAGCAATTCATAGCACAGTACATACAATTTGGCTGTGACAATTCTGTATGAACGTGTTGGTGCGTTATCGTTATGAAACGGCACTTTTTTCTTAGTCAAATGGGGTCGTGTCTCCTTCAATTTCTTATCGAATCAGTCCAATAATTCACTGTAGTATTGCCCCGTGATCGTACTTCCATTCTGCAAAAAGTCCATGAGTTTTATTCCCTTCAAATCCCAAAAAATTGTGGCCATGACTTTTGCGATTGATGGGACCCTTTTTGTCTTCTTTGGAGCAGATTCTCCCAGAAAATCCATTGTTTCTATCGTTTTATCTCTTGCGTATAATAGTGTGTCTAGATTTCATCGACGGTGACGACTCGTCACTAAAACTCCTGCGAATTTTGCTTAAAGAGGTCCATAATATTTCTTATAAAACAGCCAAAAGAACAGATCCAAGTCCATTGATCCTTTTTGGCATTTTTGAAAGGTTTCTTTTTTATTTGTTTTTTTAATTACTAAAAAAAATAACACAATTAAGAATGAAAAATTCAAAAAAAGACATTGATCATTAATTCTAAGGATCGTTCAATTGAGACTACATTTAAAATTATTCTAGGGCAAAAGGACTGCGGCTAAATAATGCCCGTTTGGAATCTTTTGGGGTTTTGACTGACAGAAAAGAAGATTTTACTTCAAACAGTTACTTAAATAATTTTTTTGACATTACTAGTGTTTATAATTTTGTGCTATCATGTATTTTCATAATTAAGTGAAATAAATATTCCATTATTCTTTATTCCATATTTTCTCTTATATTTCCCTTTTGTAAACGTTTTACTGCCTTTTTAAACGATAATAATCTATTTTTCCCCAAAATTTATTTTAAAGTACCATTTGATCAATAATTTATTTTAACAATGTTAATTAAAAGAAAATATTTACCGCAATTCGTTTTAGAGGATTTTTTTAAATAAATTACGTGACGATTATAACACTTGTAATTGTAATAAATTCAATCGCAGAAATATCCACTCTTAACTTTAAATCGTCGTCGAATTTGCACGATTTGTTACAATCATGTGTACGAGCTTGACTTTTGTTATAGCGGAGATCCCCTCCATAACGGTGAGCGGCGAGGCGGATGAAAATGAAACGGGAGCCGAGGGAAGTTCGGGGGAGTGCATGGGACCCCCCGGCGTAGCGGGCACTTCCTCCGAGGGGGCCCAGGTCGAACAAGTCGAGGAGATGCTCGAAGGAGACGACGGGGTAAATCTCTAAAAAATTTACTGTTTTCAATGATAGCTTTTGCGTGCGCACTTTTGAATTTTTTTTCAAATTTTAATGTTCTTGTGAAGGTGACCTCCGAGGGTGAGAAGACCCTAGCCCCCGAGGACGGAGAGGAAGAGGGTAGGGAAGCGGAGGCTTCCCCGAGCACCAACTCGAGGATAAGGACGATGCGGGGCGGTAATTCCGCTCGTAGGTCTATGAGATCCTCTTTACCGCGAGGGAGTATGGCTAGGTCCGGCCCCACGCCCATAATATGGGGTGACCAGAGGACTTCCCCGCAGAGGCATCATCCGCAAGGTAAGTTAACGGAGTTAATGTTTTTTTTAGCAATGAAGATAATTAAATCGAATGTAGATGTAAATTTTTCTTTTTTTTTATTTGTTTATTTAACATGTTCACTGTTTGTGGGAAATGTCGAGTGCAATGGTGAAATATTGCGCAAAAACGAGAATTATCGGATGTACTTCGGGTATCTACCTGGCACGGAAAAAAGTAGCACGTTTTTTTGTTTCAACGAACCAGGAGCCCTATTATCCGCTGGCGTGAAATCGACAGAGCCTAATTAACGATTCAAGTTCATTTTTGTGTATTGGCAGCCTTTTCCGAGGGGCTCCTACGATGGCAGAAACGGAATTGCAGTGCCCTTCTTTTGTTTTAATAGTAATTGGTACACGAGACTTTCACCGACACAAACAGTGAATGTATTAAAAAATAGTCGCATAAAAACGTATCTCTTTCAGATCGAGGCAGGGGAGGCCCATCGCCCAACTTTCAGGCGAGAGCGGTGGCCAGGAGGGCGAGAGGTCGCCTTCAGAGACCTTTCGGGGGACGCTTTTAGAACTGAACTGTTTAATTATTAGGTCATTCCATATCCCGTGCATATTCTTCATATATTACTTAGAGTAGGACTTTTTTTTAATTATTTTTATGGAAAAAACATAGGATTGGCTTTCTTTTTGATGTTTTTCGCAGGTGTATAAGTTATTTTAAAAACGTGTGTGGAAGCATCTAAAAAGTTTTGTTTTGTGTATTATATATTAATCCGATAGGTTTAGGAGTTTAAGGAGTAGTTTTGAATGTAATTGTTTATTATATAATACACCTATGAAGTAGTAATGTCTCTTATTTCACCCTTTACGCTGACACGAAGTTATCATGAGCCGTCGCCGAGAGTAAAACCACGAATTCACTGCATCGTATTAAGGGTTATCTATAATCTATAGGATGAAACCATACGAATAAATAAATGACTTTTCATTCGCTCACCGAGAATTTGCAGTTCTATGGTACACGTAGGTTAGGAAACTTTTATGAAATCGTAATTTCTTACAACTGAACCTGGTGTTATCGGAACGACTTTTAGGATCTTTTTGTGAGGTTAGAAAAAGACAAAATAGTTTCGACACATTTATTTGTTTGAGAAACGAATTTTTTTGTTTAAAGAATAGGAATATATACCAAGGGGAAGGTGTGCTGGAGGCTATTTCATATTCTGAGAGGTATTAACACTTGTTAAATCATATTTCGCGTTACGTCATGTCTATTTTCTTTGCTGAATGATTTAATAAATAAAAATTGTTTTGCGAAGAATTATTAAAATTTTTCAATTTTTAAATGTGTGATCGAAATATTTGTGTTGTTTCGATATGTTTTTTGTTTCCAATAAATATTTATGTCTAAATACAGGGTGATTCAGAACTTATCCAAAAAAAAAATTCTGCATGTACAGATTTGTAAGAGGACCCTTACAAATACAATTTTGGAATTTTGTAAAGAAAAAATCAAAAAGGGCAGTTCGAAATTGATTTAAAAATACACTTCTGCACGACACTGGAAACTGGTCCACTGTAAAACCTGACTGGCACAATGCGACTGGCATGGCGGTGTGATAAAAACTGACAAAAACTTTCGCAAGGAAAGAAATAAATAGAATTTTATAGCACCTATTTTATATCGGCAAATTCAAATGCTTTTGCCTTTATTAATTACTAATAAAATTAATTTGTGTTTTTAAATAATAAAATCATTAGACAACAATTGTTCAAAATTTTATCCACTAACGTGTAAACACATTTGGTCCGTCTTACTCACTTTCTACGAACTAACACAAACGATGTCTTGCTTCACCATAACACAAATGCTTCACCGTAATACAAATGTTGTCTTGCTTCACCATAAATTAAAACGATATCCATCAACTCTGAGTTGCTATGCACGCAAATCATTTTTGACACTAACTATTAAAAAACTGTTGTAAACACCACAGATAACAGGTAAACACTACCGTAACGACGTATTTCAGTATTAGGAGTCACATGGCTCTCCACGCGTATTGCGAATGACGCTAAAGACTACAGTTGTCCAGCTATGTAGTGGTTGAATGTACTATAACTTCAATAATTTTTTTTTCGGAAACTAAGGATTTTACAAAACATTTTTTTACGTTATTAACTCCATTTCTCATGCCGCATCTATTCCCAAATTTTTTTGGATAAGTTGTGAATCACCCTGTATATACAGGGTGGTCCAGTTACTGATGCGGAAACTTCAGAGACCAAATAAAAAAACCAAATGTATTGTTGCCAAATGGCTAAAGATATTTTAGTGAAATTTTTTAGACGTTAACTTCCATCGAGAGCATGTTTTCCAATTAAAAAATTATTTTTTGTTTTTCCAGTTGCGTCCGTCCTAGCACATTACTGGATATTTCTTCCTCCGAGAGAGCACATTTCCAATTAAAAAATTATTTTTTGTTTTACATTACTGGATATTTCTAAAGAAAAAATTGCCACTGCTATTTCATAAAATAAAAATCAGTTTTGGATTCTTCATTCAATTTGGAAGAAAAAAGCTCTTTCGATTTTTCTGTACGACTCGGTGTTTTCAAAGTGAAAAACAATTGAGGAGCAAGTACGACAAAATAACAAATTTACCTGTCAGTTTAATTAGTAACTATGTCACATTTAGTTAGCTCTCTAATAATTTGATTTGTAATTATTATGTTATCGTTATTATTAGTGTTATCCTAAAAAATGCTTTTTTGTAACGGAGAATACGCACATATTCATTTTTGTTATTGATTTTGTGATGGAAATACGGAAGGGGTAGTTCGTAAATATCAAAAATGTTATCCAAATAGAAGAATTGCTCGTGTCTTCATCGGAACACATCAAAAGTTTCGTAACTTTGGCCTGCGTGTTAATGAACATAACAGCAACATCGCAGTTACAATCAAAATTGTATTTTTCCTACTTTGAATGACAATCTGAGGCTCAGCTCTCACAGGACATCTCAACAACTACAAAAAATATATAAATCTCAAATTTTTTTGAACAAAATTCTCTGGAGGGATGAATCCTCATTCAGTAAAAGTTTGATTGGGAGTTTTTGATAATAATGTTTTAGGTCCACATTTTCTACTCTCAAAGTTAAACTCGAAACTATTTCCTGAATTTCTTACTAATAACCTACATCAAAGATATACCCGTTAACTTAAGACATAAAAGTTGGATACAATGGGATGGACTCTGGAGTTGTAAGAGAATGGCTAAATATTAATTATCCGCAACGTTGGATTGGCCAGCTATGGAGGGATGATATGAATCATGACGTGGTTAATTATATTGGACCAGTGGCCTGGCCACCCAGGTCACTGGATCTTAATCCACTGGACTTTTACTTGTGTGGAAAAGTAAAAAGCAAAGTTTACGCTACTCCAGTATTAACAGGAGATGATGTAGTTTTAAGGATTCAGCAAGCCTGCGATGATATGCAGTGAAATCCAAATGAAGTATCTGCTATAATAAATTCATTAGGTACACGATGTCGAAAATGTATTGAGGTAGGTGGACATTTCGAGCAATTTCTTTAACTCACATTTTTATTTTGTTGTTGTACATCACTAAATAAATCTATTTTTCCTGTTACAGTTTCATTGACATAAAAAATGAAATAACATTTACATTGTGGGTGTTAAAAAAGGGTTTTACATTTTTTTTACTCGTAAACGCTGAGTCGTACAGAAAAATCGAGATTTTTTTCTTCGAAACTACATTCAGTTCCTCTCTGGCTCCTTCAGTTTTCGAAATGTTCAATTTTGTTCCTTAACAGAGGCATTTGCACAAAAACCGACCATCCCAATGTGTTCAGCAACCCTTGTTGCGTATAAAACCGCCTTTAGAAGTACTTTTAGCTAGTATTCAAGAACAGCGAGTACTTTTAAGAATCGAATAGTACTAGATTTTTCATTTGAGTTCTCCCTTCACTACTTTACAGGATACTCATAGCTTAAAATGTAGAATTATGAATTTACAAAGAAATGCAGAATTGACCCATTAACATGACGATAATCATATAAAACGTATAAATCTTAAATTTTGCTGTTTTCAAATTTTTGTTCATGACAAAAATATGATATTAAATTATATTAGAACACTATCAATGTTTAAAACAAAGAATAGTATTTGGTACGATCTTTTCACAGAGATGGTCAAGTATGGAGGAATACATATTGTCTAAATATATTAAAGGACTTCTTCAAAAATAAGTTTCTATGGAAGATATACTGGGCTGACACAATCCATAATTTTTGCTCACGATTACATGCAAAATTATTTTTTTTTTCAAATATGATTACATTACAATTTGGTGTATACAGGGTGATTCACAACTTATCCAAAAAAATTTGGGAATAGATGCGGCATGAGAAATAGTCAATATTGTGAAAAAAATTTTTGTAAAATCCTTAGTTCCTGAGAAAAAAATTATTGAAGTTATAGCACATTAAACCACTACATAGCTGGACAACTGTAGTCTCTAGCGTCATTCGCAGTACACGTAGAGAGCCATGTGACTCCTAATACTGAAATCCGTCGTTGCGGTAGTTTTTACCTGTTATCTGTGGTATTTACATCAGTTTTTTAGTAGTGTCAAAAATGGCTTGCGTGTATAGCAACTCGGAGTTGATGGATATCGTTTTAATTTATGGTGAAGCAAGACAACATTTGTATTATGGTGAAGTATTTGTGTTATGGTGAAGCAAGACATCATTTGTGTTAGTTCGTAGAAAGTGAGTAAGACGGACCCAAATGTGTTTACACGTGAGTGGATAAAATTTTGAACAATTGCTGTTGCAGCATCGGGTATGTCAAATGATTTTATTATTTAAAAACACAAATTAATTTTATTAATAATTAATAAAGGCAAAAGCATTTGAATTTGCCGATATAAAATAGGTGCGATAAAATTCTATTTACATATTTCTTTCCTTGCGAAAGTTTTTGTCCGTTTTTATCATGCCGCCATACCGGTCGCATTGTGCCAAGTCAGGTTTTACAGTGGACCGGTTTCCACTGCCATGCAGAAGTGAATTTTTAAATCAATTTCGAACTAACCTTTTTGGTTTTTTCTTTACAAAATTGTATTTGTAAGGGTCCCCTATACATCCAGAATTTTTTTTTTTTTTGGATAAGTGAATCACCCTGTATATGTAAACATTTATTGTTTGTATTTAAAAGCAATGGAATTGCAAGAAAAAGTTTCCAGTTTTTTGTACCGACACTATCGCTCCCTTGCTAGCTACCAGTGCGGTATGTGGTAGGCTTTTGAGTAAACGGAGTTTAACAAACTAATCACGAGTTTTTTTTCTGAAGTTGTTTTTGGCTATTCACATTAATACCAAAATATAACACAATTCAAAAGACTATTTATTTATAAAATTTGAATATGTTGTGACAACTAATAATAAAATACGTATATTAATTACATGTTATGTAAAACTGAAATGATATCTGCAGCAACACCAAAATTTGTTTTATTTATTTACATATTTATTCATGTTGTCATACTAAACCTAACGGTGATAAAAATGCAATACAATAGGTAGTTAAAATCTGCAAATATATATTTACAAAATAAATGTGTATATTCCAGAAGCGTAACTTGCAATTCAATCTGAAAACTTAATTTTCTTATTTGGTGGTAGACCTTTGGATTTATCTTTGTATTGGATCCCATGTTTCACAAATCTTCCGGCCGCTTGCTGATCTATTCTGGGCCTTATAGTCTGCCTTTCGTGTGCCTGGAAGTAAGTAAAAAATGATATCCACAAAATCACGTAATGATTCTTGTTCAAAAATTGATATTTACAAGGAATAGACAAAGACACTTACCTGTTTAGCTTTAACCATGCAGTCTTTGATTCTATTTAGTTGATTTTTGACGTCATTTTTGTTGGGATCCTCGTTTCTATTCCTCAAATAGATCCAGTATAAAGTACTTAAAGTGTATGCTTGAAACAAATCATACTCAACTTTTTCCTTTATGGATAGCTTTTCGTAAACGTCTGAGCTTAGTGCTACTTGAAGCATTTGGGTAATTTTTTTTACACTGCTCTGGAAGTTAGTAAGCTTTTCTTGGATAGCTATATCGTCTTTTAAATCGCCGAAATCCATATTGGCTGGTACAGGAATATATGATCATGTATTTCAAAACAGTACTTTAAAACCATTAAATTATTAACATTTGATAGTTTAAATTATAGGTTAGTAATTACCCTAGATAAAACCAAAACCAATTGGTTTTATCTAGGGTAATTACAGTACACTCAGTAGTGTGAAGTGAATGCTAGTTACATTTCATATTTCAATGTTGGCCGACCCGAATCACAAAACTAGAAAAAAGTCCAGATGCGACACTTGCGACAGCTGTATATACTAGGTGACCACAAATTTATAGCAATCCTAAGAGGCTTATAAACTTTGTCACAAAAAGCAAAAAACACTAAACTATAGTTTACGGTTTCTGATTTGTTACTTACATTTCGTACCGATAAATGATGGTTATTGTGGTTATATTTACAAATCTTAGTTCAGGGTGTCTCTAATCAAATATTTATTCAGGATGTAATACTAAACCTAACGGTGATAAAAATGCAGTGCAGTAGGTAGTAAAAATCTGCAAACATATATTTACAAATGTGTATATTCCAGAAGTGTAACTTGAAATTCAATCTGAAAACTTCAGTTTCTTATTTGGTGGTAGACCTTTGGACTTATCTTTGTATTGGATCCCATGCTTAACAAATCTGCCGGCCGCTTGCTGATCTATTCTGGGCCTTATTGTCTGTCTTTCGTGTGCCTGGAAGTAAGTAAAAAATGACATCCACAAAATCATATAACGATTATTGATCAAAAATTGATATTTATAGGGAATAGACAAAGACACTTACCTGTTTAGCTTTAACCATGCAGTCTTTGATTCTATTTAGTTGATTTTTGATGTCATTTTTGTTGGGATCCTCGTTTTTATTCCTCAAATAGATCCAGTATAAAGTACTTAAAGTGTATGCTTGAAACAAATCATACTCAACTTTTTCCTTTATGGATAGCTTTTCGTAAACATCGGAGCTTAGTGCTAATTGAAGCATTTGGATAATTTTTTTTACACTACTCTGGAAGTTAGTAAGCTTTTCTTGGATAGCTTTATCGTCTTTTAAGTCGCCGAAATCCATATTCGCTGGTACAGGAATATATGATCATGTATTTAAAAACAGTACTTTAAAACCATTAAATTGTTAACATTTGGTAGTTTAAATTATAGGTTAGTAATTACATTACAGTGACACTAGTGACAGTGTGAACTGAGAATGCTAGTTACATTTCATATTTCAATATTGGCCGCCCTGAGTCACAAAACTAGAAAAAATCCAGACTGCGACAGCTGTATATACTGGGTGATCGCAAATTTATGGCCAACCTTTCCGTCTTTGTCTATGCTAAGAGGCTTATAAACTTTGTCACAAAAAGCACGGTTTACGGTGTCTGATTTGTCACTTACTTTTTGTGCCGATATATGATGGTTTATTTTTTTATATTTACAAATCTTAGTTCAGGACGTCACTCATTTTGGCGTCACTAATCAAATGGTGTTTTAAAATTCGCCGTTTATTTAAGTCAGTGGTGACGCCAGCTTATCATGAGGGGTGGCGAGAGGGTGGCCAATGATTTTAAAGGGGTGGTATACAATATATCTAACTGTGACAAATATTTATTTTTATTACTGCTTAATCTAATAATAAAAAAGGTTTAATTGTTCTGATTTAACAATATTTCTGATATTTTTAAAGAGTTACCTTTAGTATAAAACAATTTTAAGCTTAAATAAACTTAACGCATTTAAAAAATAACACATTTTTATCATAACGGCAAACTTCGTCTGTTATTATGATTTTGAGCAAATGCATCTACAACGCAATCAAGGTCAAGTGTTGTGGTTTTTTCCTTTTCAATACTTAATATAGAAATATTTGACAACCTATCACCTATCATTAACCGTCGTTGTCCGAAGGTAGGTTTTTATTCTTTTTAAGCACGAAAAAGATCTTTCACAGCATATGTAATTAAAATTATGTAAAAATTTATATAGATTAACATTGATTTGATATATTTTTATTTTCGTCCCTGGTGCTAATTCAGAGAATTTATATTTTTTTAGAAGATATATTATTATATGCTTTTATCTAAAATAACCCTGGAAAGCCCTCTTATAATTAAGATACAAAATTTAAAAACAATCCGGATTTTAATAACAAACAGTTCTAGGAACGAGAATATAATCTCTCGTGTGGTGTTTTTTCTTTATTTATATAAACATAAAATGATTTAATTATATTATTATTATTATTA